TAATTCAATCCAAAAATGGGTCATATCATCATAATTATCAGATTTGTCATGAACAATGTTTGTTTGTTTGGAGTGCTTTATTTGCAACAACTGCAGTTCTGGCTGATATGAATGTCAATGCTTTCTTAACGAAATTTTTACTTTCAGGACATGGGAAATGCGTGATAGTCCATGTTCTTGACACTGCTATGAGAGTCTATGATTTTGCCTTCTATGTTGCACCTTATGCATGTGGCCCATGGCATGACATCAAATGGATATGTGAATCTGATAAATGTGGAAAATCCAAGACAGTAACATGTGATGGGGATTTAAGTTAGTTATATATAACATAGAAAGATTGTAATGGTTAAGAAAGCATGCGATAACTCTAGATTTTTCTTTTCAAGTGTATAAACAAATAGTTACCAAATTAATAGTAGCCCTTCATTAAGAAAGTGGAAAATTTTGAAATGCATCAAAAAGTTATATGAAAATATGAACACATTATGAATATGAAGAAAGATTTTTTGACTTATGTTGGGACATAACTTTGATACATTCTAGCAAAATAAATCGTGGGATATGTCAAAGGCGTATCTGACAAATATCCATAAAGTATTAAACAAATTATTGAACATGTCAAATACAAATATGTATTCTTTATCAAAGCATCCATGCAAGACATATGGCAACAAAGAGATGAAGGATGTATCGCCATTAGTTCACTCATTTAGAAAAATGAATTACCACCTCATGCACATTTTTTTCCGACAACACATTGTATCTATGCATGCTATCATGTATGCGTGTGTAGATGGATAGGTGGGTAGACAGACATATAGATAGGTAGATGGACATACAGATAGATATGTTCAACTTCTCTTAGATGAGGAAACCCTTTTTTCACAACTTCTGGAGAGTAGTCTGGTAATCATTAAGATTGAGGTTGAGGGTTACTTCGAGGTTAACATATTAAAAATATGAAAATCTTATCATCCAGCTGTACGTAATTTGGTCCTTTATTTGGTTGACTGTCTTTGGTGTTTGGATATCGTAGCCTTTAATGTTAGTACACCTTATTTAATAGGCAGGAGCATTCTACATTTCCATATAAAGGAAAGGGTAGCATTGTTTGTTAGCATCGTAGTCTTGCCATTTGGAAATTCATGTGTGCATGTGGTGGATCGATTGGTTATAATCGTAGAGATCTCCAACTGTGCTGTTTACTATTTGATCTTGCGAATTCAGGCTCTCCTCTACAGGATAGTGTGTGGAAAGTTTATTTAAAGATCAGTATATATTAGCATGGAGAGTGCATACAAATACCCAAGAACATTAAGTGGGATTAGTTAAGGTAAAGGTAATTATTTGTTACCAAGGAAGTAAACTATTTATCTTCCACCTGGTTCAGTGGGGATTTTATTAGAACAAGTGGCCATCATGATTAAGAGAGATACCTATTAGAGATAATCTTCAATGAGTTTTAGGAAACCCTTTCACTAATTGAATGGTTTTATTGGCCTACATTATGCTTCAAATTATCGAACAGATTGTTTTTTCTTGTCCATAGTCACTTCTATCTATTGTTCTTTACTATTGAATGATAATTAGCCTTTGCTTATGAATTGGAGAATACTTGCTTACGAATTGGAGAATACTTGATGAATTTATTACCGTGAAAGACCAAGTTACCTCCAGATTCTACCAACTTTTTACCATGAGTCATTGGACATTAGATCTCCATTTAAACCTCAGGCTTTAAAAATTTGTTGGTTACTTCAGCTCTTTCATTCATCTGGTAGAGTCAGTCACTCAGCTGTTGTGCGTCCACGGATGACTCACAGCATGTGGTCTATCATGCTTTGGAAATTCTCTTAGGAATAATGTTCTTTTCCGCAGAAATTTAATTGCCAAATGCGGAGCAGAAACTAAGATTGTCTACAGTGATGAACGCATATTTTCACAATGTGTAGTAACTTCTATGTTTTATGTTTATCTTATATAGGGATATACCGTATATAACACCATACATTATTCGGCAAGGACATTCAATTGCCTAGGCGCCTTTAGCTGATATAAGTTGGGTTGGCTGATGTACCCTTGTTTGCGTGTTGTTTAGGAATTAGCCTTGATTCTTATGATTTTCATCTTGATGATTGTTTTGTGGAAATTTCAGAGGTTAGGATGGTAGTGCATTTCAGTGGACTTGATTTGCTTCTTCCATTGTGTAACTTGTTAGAGGATTTTTTTTGTTTATGTTTAGCATTTATCAACTTATCTAGAGGATGTTATCATCTGTCACCAATGCCTCTATCTATCAGATGTGTTTGGCTGTGGAGTATATCGAAGTTGAGACAACTCCACAAAAGAAATGATCAAAATAACACCTTTTGATCATGTTGGCTTGCATTAAAGCAGTTAGTTAATTGTTACTTGCTACGTCATAATCCATAAATTTATTTCGCAATCGGGATGCTAATTTCTTTCCTTTCCTGTATGTATTCTTGGCTTTTGATTCATGAGTCGAGTGCTAAAAATAATTGTTGTTTTTCTCAATATCCATACATTGGTCTTACCTTCCATTCAAATACCCATCCTGAGTATACTGTGAATATCTTGACAAGTTATCCTTATTTCTTTCAATATATCTGCAGTGCTTGAACGGTTGATTGAGTGGTATCCTCCGGTCAAACTATATTCCAGAATGCTGCCAACACCTGTGGGCCTCGAGGCTAAACCTTTTGTGTATTAGAAATGTTAGGGGCACACCCCAAGTCACACCTCCAACCACACCTCCCCCTCTCATTCGCTACAGTAATCCGGGCCCCACATGAGTTTTTAAAATTTAAAAACTCATGTGGGGCCCGGAGTACTGTAGCGAATGAGAGGGGAGGTGTGGTTGGAGGTGTGATTTGGGGTGTGCCCCTAACACCACTCTAATTTAAATTTGATGACTCACCTCAGCACATGGAACGGTACAAGTTGGATCTTAGCATAATATATTTGAAAAAAAACATGTTAACTAAAAATTCTGAGCATCACGAGTCTTATTAAATGAATAGTCGGTGTAGATTCAAAAGTCATTAGAGAGAGGGGAACAAAATGAACAGTAGTCAAGAGAAGCTGGAGAACATGACCTGGCCAAGTTCCGGGCTCGAATTCAAGTCCCTTCGCTGGTGCCTGGCCTGGGAAACAGGGGGCTCCGGGTCGTGGACTGGGGCTGGGTCCAGGCTACTCGGTCTAGTTTTGGGTCAAAACATTGACCATTTTGCTAATACCGAAATAAACTTTAAAATTTCATGGTACCAGATGCTGCTGCAGAACAAGAATATAAGATGTCAAGTTACTAACCTATTGGGATGTACCACACCCACCCACCACCCCCTGATGATTGGGGCTTGGTTCAAAACGCCAAGGGTCAATCTGTGTTGGGTAGGCATTACAACACTTAACGCTATTCATCTGGATCTGAACTGCGAAAGATGGCCCTAGGAGTTTAGGGTAGTACTAAGCCAAGGTTCTTCGCGCCTGAGAAAAACAGAAGATTAACAGGGAACTGGGAATTTTTATCTCTGGATCTGGGGCGATTGAAAGCCTCACACAATAAGGGATTGGCATGTTACTTTTAAGAGAGTATTTTTATATTGAAGATGATTGATGTTATAATATCTTTGGAAGTCTTGTTAATTTACAAGATGATTCCTCTGATGAGCATCACATTAAATTTTTAAAATCCAAACCTGTACGTAAAAGAGTACATTAATTGAATCCACGGGAAACTCTGCCAACTATCATCTTGTGGCTGAAACACCAACCACAACCTGTATGGTTGTCTAGCCCCTGCGTCATTTAATATATATATGGACAAATATTATTAACTCCTTCCTCTTTGTACATTATTATTGTAATAACCACACGTCTACAAAACTACCAACCCCACGTTCTGCCCTGCGATCAACAAACAATTTACTAATCTGCCAATGTATATCGTATGCATCTCCCCCAAAAAAAGAAATCTCGCGAGGACAAAGAAGTATAAGAAACAAGAAAACATATAAAAATAGGGGTAAAAATAATTTATGAATCATTTATCTGCCTTGAGACTTTTTTCCAAAAAAGAAATACGTACAGGATTATAAATAATTATAGCTATAAAGTCAGGATTTCCTATTATATACTTGATTTCCCAATGCCGATACATCACAGAGGATATTTGTGCCAATTAAGTGCCATTATAAATATCCATACGCCCTGGTGATTATTCTGGGCCTCTAATTGGCACAAATATCCTCATTAGCTCATCAACAAACAAATAATAATAAACATTCCATATCATGTCAAAATCTAATGGAGGGGGAGAACATCATTGCTAAAGATAAAGAGGCTAAATGGCACTGAAATACCCTATTGTTTCATCACATTTATACTTGAAAACCCTAAGTTGTAAAAAGTAGCACTTTGATACCCTAAGTTGTAAAAAAATAACACTTTAATACCTAAGTTGTAAAATAGAATGGCACTTAAAGCACCCCATCGTTTCACCACATTTACACGTAAACGGTCTAAGTCATAAAAAGTAGCACTTTAATACCCTAAATTGTAAGAAAATAACAATTTAATACCTTCTGTTATTTGTTAGGACATATTCATAGGAATACTCTCATGACAACTAATAGAAGGTACTAGCCTGCCAAAATTTTTTATAACTTAAAATATTAAAGTGCTACTTCCGCATCTAAATGTGAGGGTGACAGGAGAATTGGGTATGTAAGTAATTGCCATTTGTCCATGATGAAGCAGTAACTGTTCTTGGGTGGTCCTAGAAACTTTGGTCCTTAAACGCTCTGGGATTAACGAAACATGGAGATTCCCTGCAGTTGACTTCAGAAAACTATTCAGCGCTGGCTCTTCTGTAATAATTAGCCTATCACGAGGCCAACTTGTTTGTATGCAAGCATCACGCTCTTTTAGCACCCCACCATTCTTCATTTATACCCCTCCAATAATTTTTGTGCCGTGGACACAACAACAGCAACAAAAGTTTTTTTAATTAACTCATTTTTTTTTTAATCTCCAAGCTCAAAATATCATCGACAATGGCAGAAGCAGCAGCAACAAAGCTTGAGGTCGAGGGGGTCTCCTTCCCCGCGCTTGTGACTCCACCGGGCTCCTCCAAGACCCACCTCCTCGGCGGCGCAGGTTTCGGATAATTTTACATGGTTTTCTTTTCTAGGATAAATTGCATATATACAGACATTCTCTATGCTGATTTGTTGTGTGAATGCGTGCACTTTGTTTTTTTTTTTTTTTTACGACGGTGAATTTATTTGTTTGATGAAGGTGTGAGGGGGCTAGAGATTGGTGGGAAGTTTGTATCTTTTACCGCGATTGGTGTTTACTTGGAGAGCGGTGCGGTGTCGGTGTTGGCGGAGAAATGGAAGGGGAAGGATGCTGAGGAGATTGCCGGGTCTTTTGAGTTTTTTCAAGATGTTTCTGCAGGTAATTAATAAATCTTTTTTACTATTTTTTTTTATCCATTTTAAAAGAGTAAATTGCTATGAGAACTTTCTGACACTTTCGAGCATTAGCATTTATCCTATCTAAGTACATACTGTGCCTCATCTTTACTTTTTCGCTCAAACATATATATTTCTCAACGTTCACCAAATGAAAAATAGAATAAAAAAAAAGTGATTAAAATAGTGGAATATCTTACTGTGGAAGAATCTTACTATCACAGGTTATCTGTAATTTAACCTTTTTCATAATAGTCTGAAAATTAGTTGCGACAAAATAACATGCTGCATGCATGAAAGGTTGATCTAATTTTTGAAAGAAAAAAAAAAACCCAAATATGATATAACAACCAATTTCACCCTAATTTTGCTGTATAAATGCAGGACCATTTGAAAAGTTCACAAAAGTTACGATGATCCTTCCTCTGTCCGGCCAACAATACTCTGAAAAAGTGTCAGAAAACTGCGTTGCGTTCTGGAAAGCCATCGGAACCTACACCGATGCGGAAGCGGCCGCCGTCGAAAAATTCAAAGAAGTTTTTGAACCAGAGAACTTCCCTCCTGGCTCCTCAATTCTCTTCACTCACTCCCCTGCCGGCTCTCTGACGGTAAAAGAAACTACATTTCAAGAAGCACGAGTTTATCTTGAAAATATAAAATATGAGATGATAGTTCGTTTTGCTTCTTGAGCTATCCAGATATAGAATAATGGTGTTTTTGGAGTA